CCCACCAGGTAAGCTGCCGCTCCGGGAGAAGGGCGGGAGGAGAAGGGGAGGTCCTGGCGGGGCCCCTACCCTTCCCAAATCCCTTTGGCATCATCGGCCCCCGACGTCCCGGGGAGCTGAAATCCCGAAAGGATCAGAGCAGCGCGTGCCTTTCGCGGCGCTCTCGGCGATGCCGTGCCGGGACACACGGCTTGCGAGCCCCTCGCCAAAGACGTGCCAGCTCCAAGGGGGGGCTGCTTGGGGGTGCTAGTGTCCCTGTGAGGCGCCCCTGGCTCTAAACTGGGCATCCTTTACCTCACGTTCTCGCAAAGAAAGCAGAACACCGTGGTAATAGCTCCCAATGTCCCTGCCCCGATGCTTTCAGCCATTCATTTAGGTTTTGATGACAGGTTGCTCGTTAATGCACCTCCTGTGGGGCCTTTTCTTTTCTTGTTTTAATATTGTTGGGTAAAGAAAAAAAATCCCAGGTTATTTACTTTGCGGGGGAATTAATACTGGTGCCCTAAGTGGAAAAGTAGGGGTTAGACTTAGACAAGTGCGCTGGCAAAAGGCGAGGTAGGAGGAGCCCCACAGAGCCAGGAGAGACCAGACCTTTAGGTTAGGGATATTTTTTCAGTCCTCCGGTCAGAGTTATTTTAGACTTCTGTTTTTCTACTCCACTTTGCACAGAATTCAGTGGCACGACACTGTTATGCTCAGAAAAATGCAGGAAAAAAAGGACATAATGATCTGTTCCCTTGAACTCCTGCTCATTTTCTGAGCTAGCAAAAAAAGCATTTTTCCTTCATAGAGCTGTGTATCAACACGTCCAGTTGTGACATTAGCTGTGAACTCACTCTGTTGTGTTCCTCCGTCAGTTCTCAGTGGAGGTGTGTGGAGAAAATTTCCTTCCCTTTTTATTTGATTAAGCACTGATCACTATGTTTTAACAGCCAGTCCTTAAACTAACAAATGATAATGATGTGACTTGCCAGGAAATGTGTGCGTGGAATGGCATGGACAGAAATTGACAGGAAAAAAAAGGGACCAGCAGAATAATACATAAATAACATTGGGAGGCAAGGCTTAGGGGGGAGGGTTGTCCTGCCTCCTTCTTTAAGCTTTTGGATTTAAGGCAAAGAAGGTCTTAATTTCAGCACTATTTTTTTTTTCTCAGATTTTAGTGTTTTCTCGAGAAGAAGAAAGATGTGAATGGTTTGTGACAGTGTGATAATTCTTAGTTTAAATATGATAGTGCTTAGTTTAAATATGTTTATCTGTAAAGCAGGCAGGAAAGAATTAAAAGTTGATTTAACACAAATTATTTGGATTCCTGCATGCCAGGAGTGAATATTTTTAAATTGTAAGTGAAAAGAGTTCTTAAAATAATGAGGAAAACCTCATTATTTCCAAGGCAGTTTTATTTTTTTTAACATGAATTATTTCTCAAGTGCTTCTGGAATATAAATTACCATGATTGAGAAGAGATGAACTGCACTTAATTTTGATATACATTTTATCCATATTTACTTTTCTCTTTATGAGAAAATTTATACTAATTGATGCATTTTATTCCTCTGCTGTGGAACCAAAATACACTACACACTTTTAGTTCAAGTTGCAAATATTGGTCTAGAATCTCAGTGTTTAGTCAGGCAAACCTCAGTGAATTGCAGAATTGGGTCTAGTGACCAGCAAATTACATGGCAGACTAGTAGGAAATGTAAAAGAAAATAACAATCAGATCTTTTTAGCCAGGCACTGTGTTGCTTTGACCATCCCAGCTATTAGTGAACCACATTAAGTTTCATGACTAATGAATAAAACCAACTGTATTACTGGCCTCAATCTTGCTTTCCCATAAAAACAGAAATGCCACATATCTTTTATCCTACACTTTTGCAAATTGAAGGGGATGTCGTACCCTCCACTTTTTAAATGAGAACATTCTACCAAAGATAAGCCTTAAAACTAATAATGAAACAGCAACCCTAAATTATTAGCTGACCAGAAATACTCTTCAAAGGTCCAGAGCTGAGTAAGCAAAATTGATGCAAGTCCTGAGTAGAAAACCTTGTGATTTGAGTAATTCCTCTGACATGCGCTGCAGATGCTGCTTCTTTTAAAATAAATATAATTTTTAATATTATGCATTTGATAACCCTGTTTACTCTTCGTGAAAATTTTACAGCATGATTTGAAGGCATAGAGAGGTAGATTTAGAGTCATAACTCTTCTCGTTGTGCTTATCTAATTCTCATTGACACCTATGTATATTAAGCAGCAGATGTAGGGCAGCTTGAGATGGATTCTTCTCTCACTGACACTGGTATAATATAAACTGGTGAGTTTCTCCCTTGACTAGATGAGAGCAGACTCCTAGTACTGAATGCTTAGTCGGTCCCTGGTGCATATTTCTTGTTGAAAGCAAAAGGCTCGAGGCTAATTTAAATGTCCGAATGGGAGTTGGGTGCCTATGTGAGCTCTGGGAAAGCTCTAGGAAGGAAGTTTGTGCTGGCCTGGGCCGCAGCCTGGTGCCCTGGGCCTGTTGTTGACGCGCCCCTTTGCCCTTGCAGATATGCCCTGTGTGCAAGCGCAGTATAGTCCTTCACCGCCCGGTTCGAATTATGCATCCCAGACCTACGCCTATGGCTCGGACTACAGCTCAGACATCATGAACCCCGACTATGCCAAGCTGACCATGGACCTGAGCAGTACCGAAATCACTGCCACTGCCACCACCTCCCTTCCCAGCTTCAGCACCTTTATGGAGGGTTACTCTGGCAGCTACGAGCTCAAGCCTTCCTGCCTCTACCAAATGCAAACTGCCTCCTCTGGCCAGAGGCCCCTCATAAAGATGGAAGACACCCGGCTGTCCCCGTACCAGCCCTCACTGCCCCCGTCTACAGATGAGGGGATGCCCAGCACTTCCATGTACTTCAAGCAATCGCCACCCTCCACGCCCACCACGCCGGGCTTCCCTGCCCACCAGGCCCTGTGGGATGAGCCCCCGCTGCAGCCCACGCAGACCTGCCTGCCTCCCGGGCACCTGATGGACGCCGCCCCCATGAAGACCGTGCCTCCGCGCTTCCCTCTCTTCCACTTCAAGCACTCGCCTCCGCACACGCCGTCCGCGGCCGCCCACATGTGTTACGACCCGGCCTCGCTGAGCTTGCCCCTGGGCTCCGACAGGCCCGCCGCCAGCCAGGCTCCCATGGAGGGCCATTCCTACGGGCTTCACCTGGCCAAAAGACCAGCCACCTTAGCCTTCTCACCGCTCGGCCTCAACGCAGCCACCTCCAGCCTGATGGGGGAGAGCAGCGGCAGCGGCAGCAGCGGCCTCCCGTCCCCTCCCAGCCGGAGCTCCTCGTCCGGAGAAGGCACCTGCGCTGTCTGTGGAGATAATGCCGCCTGCCAGCACTACGGGGTGCGGACATGCGAGGGCTGCAAGGGCTTTTTCAAGGTGAGGGATCCGTGCTCTGCTCCCCTCCCTGCTTGATCCCACCTCACTTCCCACCCTCTGAGTCCTGACGCGCTCCTGGTCCCGACCTGGGGCTTCAGGGACATCGTGTGCTGAAACTCGGGCCCCCACAGCAGGGTAGGAGGGACGCCCAAAGTTTTTGAAGGTCAAGGAAAGCCCTGTGTAGGATAAAAGGATCAGCCAGTCTCTGCTGAGAAGAGGCCATGGCAGTGATCTGGGGGAACCACCTCTGGTCTGCCAGCGCTCCTCAATGAAACTTAGGTCACCCCAGTTTAAGCTATAAACAGCATTTATTCAGTAGTGAAACTCATCTGGAGTACATTCAGCCTGGGTTTTACTCAGTCACCAATTCCAATTACACTTTGTTTTTAGGTGAGAAAACAAACCCTGAAATTGTAAAGTCCACTTAATATTTTAGGTGGTGGCAGCAGTGCCCTTTGCTGTCCAGGGAAAATTGGCGTGAGGAGGAATGCAGGGTGGTCAGCACCGGGAAGAAACCGGTTTCACTCATGGGACAAACCCAAGAACTCCTGGTTGCTTTTGGTTGCTGCCTTGTCGTTCCCCTTCAGCTCAGGAGCCCGGGGAGCCCTTCCCAGGGGAAAGCTGCCTGCAGAGCAGTGACTAAGCACTGCACAGGGTCCCGGTGCCTGCTCTGCAATGCTGCTCTGCTACTCTTTGCAGCTGACTAGCAGCCCAAATAACTTACACACAGCAGTTTCTCAGCTGGAACTTTGCACTTACATTTTCAAGAGTTGAATATACTCTTTAGATCTTAGGTTTGGGTGCTTTGTAATTTCCTTTTAGCAGAGTTTGAAGGTCCAGATTCCAGTATTAATTTCAGAAATAGCTTGTTTAAGGGAAGAGCTTGTGATTGACTTTTGGTAGGATGGTTCTGCACAGCAAGTTTAAGATTTGAAACATTTGGGGTTGATTTTGTATATTTCTTCTTGCTAAGATAGCAGTTATGCCCTTATTCTGGTAAAAGATACAATGGGAACAAAACCAGTCCCAAAATATTTGGGGGGAGGGCTTATAACATTTTTTTATTGTAGGTGGAATTGTCAGTGTTACTTAATAATAATCTTTTGACCACGTGGTAATACATGTCTTCTATAAAACTAATTTGTTATTTAAATATAACTAGAAAAGGCAACACAAATAACATGGAAATAGCAGCTCTTTTTGTCCCAAACCTGCCCCTGTGGAAATCAATAGCATATCTTTGAGTTGCAACAGCACCTAATTCTGCAAAATTAAACTGTTTTCAGCTCCAAATCACAATGAACAATATTTGCTCTATCTCATACCTTCAGTACATTGAGGCTGTTATTTGATAACAAACACAAATTATGGAATAAAATTTATCCATTCATTTAATTGCAGTTGAAGATTTAATATTGAATGTTGAGTTGATCAATTTGTTCCTGGTGTCTTTTCTAGTAGTACCTTTTTGAATGTTATTTATTGATGTATCTTTGATTTTAAGCATGGCAGCATGATATATTTTTGCATTGATATTTGTTACATTCTTACAACGCTTACCAGGTTTCTATACATTTTAATTTTGCTTTATTTTTTTCAACATGACTTTAGAGTTAATTAAATTTACATAACTTTGTCATCATTCTGTCCTTTTTCTTCAGGTCAGGTTAACTTTCCCAGAGTATTTAGCCAAACATGTTTTGTAGGGGTTGCTGATGTTTTTATTTTTCTCCCTGATGATTTTAATGGCTAACCAAACCAGTTATTGTGGTATTTGACTAACAATAGTGATAGCAAGAGAAGTACATTGCAGATCATTTTGATTTTATTTTAATAAGGTCAGCAATAATCAAGGGAATGAACCAAGTAGAAAATTGTTCCCAAAGGGATATTAAAAGCGGAGATAATCTAATCCCCAAAGGTAGATGTGATGACCTGGTAATTTCAGATATGATTTTATCATTCAAAGTTGCCTGTCTCCAGAGACTTGCTTCAGAAAAATCCTAGATGATTTTCATTGTCAGCAGCTAGCACTAATAAAATTGTTTTTCCTGCAGGCTAGTGTGTTAGGAAATTAATTTTATCTAATTATATGAATTGCACTGTCACTTTTCATGTTGTAATTAAAACACATTTTGTCAGGTTCTAAGCTGCTCAAGAAACAATCAGTTTACTATCTTTGTGTTGCATTTTTGCAGAGAACAGTTCAGAAAAATGCAAAATATGTTTGTCTGGCAAATAAAAACTGCCCAGTGGACAAGAGACGTCGTAACAGATGCCAATACTGCCGGTTCCAGAAGTGTCTCAGTGTCGGCATGGTTAAAGAAGGTAAGGACTCTGGCTATTTATGATCCCAGAAAACTAAAATATTATGTTTTATGAATCTGTGTCTTTGTGTGTGTGTGTGTGTGTGAGCAAGCATGGATGTCTCTACAATAAATTTGACAGTGATGAGATTCATAACTTACCCCAAAATATGTGCATTTATGTAATAATGTATTGATTTTGTGCTTTTCACCCCTATTATCATATTTAGACCATAGACCCCAGAGTTCAAGAACAGCAAGGTCACAAGAGGATAATTTGACAGTGGCCAAAATGTCTCCTTTATTAACTTTGAACATTGCTCGATAATGCTGTTGGCTTCCCCTTGTTCTCTCACTGGGGGCTGCACTGGATTGTGTGCATTTTGACATAGGATCTCGTTTCATTCCCATAAGCTGATTGTAAATTTGCAATTAATTTAAATGGAAACAGGATCAACTCATTAGTCCCAATTCTGCAAATATTTAAGTATGTGAGTAATATTGTGTGAGCAGTCCCATTGCAAATACTGACATGGATAATATAACCTATATAGTGTGACCGTATTTTTTCAAATGCTTTAAGAAAGCTGAAATTACTTTGAATGAATGCCTCTGCCATTTAAAAGGCACACTGCTAGTAGAAACATTAAAATCTGTGTTTCACATTCAGTTTGTTTTCAGCAGTGGAGTGTCACAGGCACAAGTGCAGGGGCACACTGACATGCTGCAAACAAAGCATGGACACAAGGAACACAGCTGGGCTCTCACTAAGTAGCTACATTGCTGCTTACGATCGTAGGTCTGACACAGTTCTGGTGCCATTTGTGTTCCTTTGCAATCAAAGGCATCAAGAGCACATGCTGAAACTGGAGAACACTTATTTTTACTGGTCTGGCCACCGTAAGGAAAGCAGGGTGTTCATTCTGATCCATCATTTGCTGGTACCTTCACAACTGATTCCCTTGGGATTTTTTTTTCACCTAGTTGTCCGTACCGACAGCCTGAAAGGGAGAAGAGGTCGGCTGCCTTCCAAACCAAAGAGCCCCTTACAGCAAGAACCCTCTCAGCCCTCCCCGCCCTCTCCTCCCATCAGCATGATGAATGCCCTCGTTCGAGCTTTAACCGACTCCACGCCCAGGGAGCTGGACTATTCAAGAGTATGTCTCACTTTCCTTTCCCCGTTTGTTTCCGCACAGAAATTATTTGCGTGCTGCATTTCTCCTTACCAGCTGCTTTGCCAAAATGAAATTAAGTATGAAATTTGGATGAGGGTAGAAATCGGTCCAGCCAGCCGTTGTCTTTTCATGATAGGTGGACAATGAGAGGAAAGGAAGTGCAGTAGATATTAGTGTTAGTAACTATTCATTGTGAGGATCTCAATCACAAAAAATGATCTAATAATCTGCAGTATATTCAGTGGCTGAGTTAAAGCAAAAATGCATGGATAAATAGAGCATTCTTCTTGCAAAAAGG